TGCATGTCAAGCTGCTATCCCCTGTTGTTTCCTTACGAAGGTGAATAGATAAAACATTCCCCCAGCATAGGTGTGTGTGTGTGTGTGTCTGCGTAAAGGTGCCCTGCTTCTACAAACATGAGTTGTTTAAAAAAAAAAGAGGAAGATACAAATCTGTAATCAGATAAGTAAACAATCAAAGCCCCCGGGGTCAAAACGAAAATCTGAAATAAATGATTTCTGCTGTACGTGAGGGGGACAAAGGCCTGCGATGGGTGGGATGGTATCTGCTGTTAGATTAGCGATCTGGTTGACAGGCAGCCACAGAGAGTAGACGCGGGGGTCCAGAGCCAAACCACAAAACCACTTTCTCACGGCCGTCACTAGAGATCACAGTACGACTTGGGCCTTGTTGGGGATGCAAACCCACTTTGACACCAACACGGTTTATATTTCTAATCATGATGCTTATCTTTCATCAACCACGTTTTTGGCCCCTAGGAAAAATTATAACTGAGCAAAGATATCCGTTACTTCAATTCACTGCTATTTTTTTTGTTTATTTTTAACCAACTTTTCTAACTATTGTAGCGTAGGTTTGCGTCTTTAATCCAAAGGATATTGTCAATTTGGGGCATATGGAGGAAGTAGAGTGCGTGGGCTGGTGTGTGTTTGTGGGGTTGCGAGTGTGTTTTGGTTGACCTGCAGAAGTCGGGAGAGGTGTTTCCGCGAGGATTTGTCGTTCCTGGTCACCAACGGTGAGGAAGCCCCCTTGTTGTCCACGGCGGTCCAAGGTTCTCTCCAGCCGCTTCCCTCCCTCCGGCAGTGCCGAGCAGTTTCTTTGCTTTGTGACTCTCGTATGGCAACCGTTTTGTTTGTCCTCTTTCCTCTCCAGCCTCTCGCTCAACTCCCTGCCATGCAGCCTCTGTCAGTTGCTGATCCTCATCACAGGTGTTCCCAATTATATTAGAGCCTTCCTTGCCCCGCCTTCTTTTCTGTCAAGTGGGAAAAGCTACGACCAGATGTTCAAAATGCATCAGCGTCAGTAATACATGAATCATTCCTCCGATATTGTAGGAAAACATTGACATAGATTGTTTCAAAGATGCATGCCATGTGATGTCGATTTTAAGTTAAAGGTGTACAAACTTAATTTTGACAAGACATGGTTGTTACAGTAGTTGACTTAACTGTACTTTAACCATAGATGTAATGGATCCGGAAAAATGCCCATGTATTTTCAAGCATAAGGGAAATAAATCTTAAAATCTTTCTGCAAAAATAGGGACATGGCATTCCGAAACGATTAACAGTATTAGAAGAAAAAAAAAGAAGAGCATTTGTTTGCATTGGAATATTTATTTTAAGTAATAATTGTATTTGTATTTTTCCGACACCTCCGGCATTTATTTTAAATTAGACAGTTCAGAGATGATAGTAAATGAGCAGCAAAACGGAATAGGAATGATGGTTCTTGGTCGGCACCGAAAAAGTAAACACAATAATTACTCATTTAGTTACATCAAGAAAATCCTCAAATGTATGCCGTTTGAATGCTATGCACACTAAAAAAAACTCATTAATGGAGAAGACATACAGTATCATATGTGGTTATACTGCCCCATTATTTTCTTATCACTGGTCATACTGGTGCATTTCCAATGAAAGCAGCTATTTGAAATTCCATTTCATACTACGTTTGTGCAACAGAAAATCAATTTACAGTCGTATTAGGTAGGATTTGATTGAAAATGGTACAACTTCCTCGTCAGCAGCATCCCGAGTAAAAGTAAAAATAAAATCACCCAGGGTTTCATTAAGGCTTTAAGCCTCGGCAAACATTTCCACCTCTTAGGAAAATAGCAGCGGCTTTAACTGGCCATCATTCGCACGTTAGAGTGGATTTATTAATGTAGTGTGGTGGGAAGAAGCTTGCACTTCTCGTTTGATTCAAATTAGAGCAGTGGTGGAGAAAAACGCTGAATTATACATGACATAGTGTTTTAATTAGCAGTTAATTGAGGCCGCTTGGTAATTAAAACAACGTCACGTAAGTAAAGGTCAGAGGCTGCATGTAGTGATCTGTGAGGGAGAAACAGGAGTAGAGCATCACACTAATGCAGCACGTGTCATTCTTTCTATCTGTTCAAAGACTTACGTCTCCTCCGTTTGTGGTCTGGGTTTTACTTTTTCAAACCGTACGGTTCATCTTTGGATGATTTTATTAGTTCATACATTCTGTTGTCTCAATTGTATCCAGACAGCGTGCAGAGAAGAGAAATCAAGTTAACATCCCCAATCTGATGTATTTTTGTACGAAGCTTCAAGTCGAGGCAATTTTATTTGTGTAGCACATTTCAACAACGAGGCAATTCAGTGCTTCACATAAAACCATTAAAAACATCCAAACATAAAGCACGGAGATATTAATACACCAAATCTGCAAGTTCTCCTAGGAGACACAATGCAATCAACACAAGAGTAGAAGTTAGCACACTATCAAAGCACCTAAAGTTTGTCAGGATTCACGTTGAATTAAAACACAACTGCTGACAGTTTTAGCCAAAATCTCTTCCTCAGATTGTTTGATTATAGATCACTCACACAAGTCAATTACTAAATTCCCCTCTTTACACTTAAAGTGAGTTGACAACTCTCGTTAAGAAAACAAGTGAGTTGTATATAAAATGTGACACTTTTTTCTACTTGATGAATATTTTTCGGGCGTCTCCATCTGTGTCCGATACTGTTTGCTGTTTTAGCGGCCGGATTCGGATTTGAAATGTCTTCTTTATACAAAGCACATACATAGGGTGTACACTACTTTCTGCTAACAAATCTAAAATGTCACATTAAAAAGATGTCAAATTACAGCTTCAAATGCAAGGCCTACAACTGAGGGTCAAATCCAGACAAAAGTACTATTATAAAATAGGGAAAAGTAAAAAGCCATGCATGACTTGCAGCAGGGTTTTACATGAAAATGACATTCACAGCTCCTCAAACTGTTTTGAAAGCAATGCACTGTTTATATTTGCACTGACTTAATACATATTAAGTCGGTAACCTGGCACAACAAGGAAAATGGCATTGCATTTAAAGTCAACAAATCCCTAAAGAATTCTGATTTCCCGACACTTTCCCCTCACATCAATCAGCTAGCCATCGTCCTCAGCCACACTTAGACCAAACAGAATGCTTCCTCCCCACCCAGGGGACAATGGAGACTGGAGCCTCGCTGTTAACACACACTACCTGACAGACAAATGGCTCCTCGTTAACTATACATGTGAGAGCCACGGGATGGAAAATTGTTTTAGCCGAAACCGCGTCACATTCAATCAACGCACACACCATGTGCCGCACCTTTTCCCGGGCCTGCGGGTCCACTGGATTTTGCACAAACTCAAAGACTGGCCTTTGGCTATATGACCAGCCTCGGGAAAGCAGCGTTGATGATGACTCGGTCCGACACTGTGACAGAAGCCAGGGAACAAAGGTTGACAACGCAAGCCGTCCTCTGGTAATACATATTGCTCACTCTTCCTCGCACGCATGCACAAACACCACAGGGGACTTGTCACCCGCCCACACTGAAATCTCCCCCTCCAGTTATTACCTGCTTCCATTATATCTTTCACTCGGAGCTCATAAAGCTTGAATTGAGTTATGAGACGGAAACCAAGAGCTGAACATTTCAGCCTTTATTAAGCTGCCTGTTACTCCGAGGTAAAGAAAATAAACACACACAGATTGGACCACGAGAGAACACAAACAAAGGCATTTCTTCCAAGTAAAGATGATTGCACAATGTTAGGGAGGAAGAGGAGGAAGAAAAAAGGAGATGAAATGTGAGAAGACAAGTGGTGAGAAGTCAGCAGGGGGCCAGGATTGTAACTGCAGCTCTGAAAGTATGTCGGTCCTCCCAACCATAAGTACCATTTACAAGATGTGAAAGTACTGCTGTGTTTGTGTGATCTGTGACACCCAGAGAGCAGAGGAACTCAAGTGTACTCCAAGACAATGTGAACAAATGCCATTCCGGGGGTAAATGGGGGGTTTGGCACAAACTGCGATGTTTCAAGGTCACCGGTCATCTCGCTCAAGTCTTGATACTTTCTTAAAAGTTTCTTTCTCGATTGTGTGAAGTGCACTTGCGATGTGTGCTTTTATGCAGACGTACAGTGGACAGACATCCGCCTTTAGAGAACACGTACAAATACATATCAATCAAATGTTACAGGCTGGCTTCCTCCCAGTCGGCACATATTCATTTATTCAGCGCTCTTCCACTACATGTTGTGTTTGTTTGCTCCAGGCAAATGTTTTCAACATGGCACTAACAGCAGTCCATCGAAGGGGAAGTTGTGTTTACTGTGATGAACAAACGGTTTGTGGAAGTCAGTGGAAGCCTGCAGAGCTCTACAAGGCTAGAAACCAGACAAGCCCACTTTCATGCCACACTGTAAAGGAAATTTATTTAAAATGTTGCACACATTCTAGATCGAACTCGGAATGTTTTGTTGACGTCCGTTTGCAAACCCGAACATATTTTCCTGTTAGGCAGAGTGATCGATGCAATGAGCCTATTGGAAATCTTGTTCTTTTAGTGTTGTTCCTGTGTGAATAAAGCCGTCATCCAGAAAGTCATTCAAATATAAGTTCCTTGGCTTGAGTTTTTCAATTACATTTTGACATGTTTCATTATTCATTGTAAGGTACAAACTTCCCGAGTTAAAGTAATCAAACATAATAACCAGAATTGGATCTAAGTCTACAATATTTGGTTCTGATTTGTTTTGGAACAATAAAATAAAAGAAAAACACTCAATTCCCTCAAAAAATCGCATAAGTGCAAATGAGTAAAAGTACATTGTACATTAAAATTATTAAGACAGTGAAAAAGTAACAAATGTTAATCTACTCGTCGAACAAAGATCAAATGTGAGCGAGTGTCTCCCCCTTGTGTTTGAGTGACGCTACTGCAGCGTGAGGCAGTGTTTACAGTTGCTAGGTAACGAAATCAAATATCAGCTATACTCAAGTCATCGAAAGCCTTCGGTAACAGCGGTTATTGCTTTGCGGGTGTTGTTTTCATCACATGGCAGGAAAGGAAAAACTAAATGAGGTCCAAAAAAATGCAATCCACAAAGAGACGATCCGGAAAGAGAAAAGACACGAGATACTCCAGACGCAGTTCACCTTCAATCCGCATCGACGCCGTAAGTGTTCATTCCCTGACAAGGACTCCTGTGCTTAACGTGTACTTAGGCTTCGATATTTCACTTAATACACTATTTTTTGTTTGGAAAACGTTGGTCTTCCACATTTTAGCGCATATCCTAACAGATAAACCCATGTCCAGGAAACCAACAGAAGAGATTGCAGAGAACTGTGAGTGTAGTTTCTATTTGATACTAAAGGAGTATTGCTTTGCTCTTTTCCTCTAAATGTCATTGAAGACTTTACACCGGACCTGCATGATGCCAAACACAAAGAAGCACTGCTAAAAGATGAATGCTTGAGGACAAATACATTTTTTGTTTGCAGCAGAATTCATCGAGGCCTTTCAAAGGGCTCGCCTCGTACCCACCATGAAATATTCAACGCCGCAGACGTCGGGTCAGGAGATCGGGTGGTGGGTGTCAACTCCACTGGTGAGCACAACACCGATTTGGCAACATTTCAGCATTAAGAGCAAGACTGCAGCACATCCGGGGGGCGCTGGGACCATACGAACTGCACTTTAATTCAATAGTATTTACTTCAACGTTATCACAAACCACAGCAGCATACATTTGTATTATCTGGTGTAATTGAAATTGTTGCTTATTTTGTCCGTTTCCATCCCCAGATCCCACCCAACCCCAACGACAAGAGGTTCAACTTCCACAGATGCTGCACAGACGTCACCAAATAAAACAATCTGCGCCGTGTGCAAAGAAAGCGATGTAATAACAATCGCTAAATAGCAATCATTTCTTGTTCAGATTTATTTGTTTATCATACAGGTGTCGTTGCAAAAAGCTGATCTTTACATTTCCATTCTTAGCTACCAAAGTAAAAGACTTGGAGGGGGCAACTCAAGTCTATACAAAGCACACTTGCTCATGACATACTAATCATATTAATGAATATGAGAAAGGGCAAAACAAACAGCTGCTCAATATCATAAAATGTCATGTCACACGGGAGAGAATTAATGAGCCAAGGAGCCGTTAATAAAAATGAATATTCCAAAATCAAGAGGACTGTAGACAAGGAGGCCAGCACAAACATTGAGAAACCACAGAAAGTTGCTTTAAAAACAACCCTATGAAATATGCACATGGAAAATGTCCAGACAATGCGATGATTTAACTAGTAAAGAAGAAAATACTTTCTCTTAACAATCAAATTCTCTATTTTCAGAAAACTATTTTGTGGTATTCCACTCTAGGGTTTACCATCTCTGCAAAAGTCGACCTCCAAAAATCATCCATCGCAAAATGTCTCTCTCGGTATGTAGGTGTGTGTGTTTAAGTGTGTGACTTGAAGGGCCCCAACATGGATCCAGACACACTTTACTGAAGGCATCTTATAAAAAAAGTTTAGAAGAAAAGCCCATGTTGTCCTCTGTCCCCAGGTGGAGGGACTTGAGGAGCAGGTTAGGGAAATCGGTCAAAGTCCAGCTATCATCAGTCCATTTTTAAGAGCGAGACTTTATCTTCTTGCGCGTAGACTTGCCCGGGCGTTTCTGAAAGGAAAAAGTGAAATAAAATTCAGATTCTCCGCAGTACCGAGCGCGGAGTAAATTTAGTAACCTTATAATTTCCTTTGACAATATTTCCACACACACACACACACACACACACAGAAGGGGTCAACAGTGTTGCGAGTGACTCACATTTTGTTTTCCTCCCTTGACCCCTTTGTTTCCTCCCTTGCTGCCCTTTGAATTAGCCACTTTAGCGCGGAAAGCAGAAACATCATTGTGGCTCTCCTTGGTGTTCCACTTCTTTCCGCTCTTCTTGCCTCCGAAGCCAAACCTCTGGTCTTTGTATTTTCTCTTTGAATTGGGGCTTTAAAAAAAAAAAGTGTTTAGTTTTTTGTGATGGGACACTAAGATTTATTATTGATTGTAATGTACACAAGCGACATAACTTACGCTCTCTTGTTTACCGCTTTGTTGGAGCCCTGAGCAGACTCTTTACCCTTCTTCTTGTCCCCTTCCAAGAAATCCAGTTTGTCGGTCATTCCTGGGAGTGAGGGTGAAAAGTTAAATTTCTGAGAAAAATCTCACATAAGGAAAATTACATTCTATCTATGATAATGAGCAACATTTTACAAGGGTTCCTTTTTCCCCCATCAATGAACAATTAAAAAAAAGAAAATCTCACCTTTTTGGTATTTCTTCACAGCAGTCATCATAGCCTTCTTCTCTTTCTGCCTCTTCTGTATCACTTCTACTTGGACCTAAAAACACATTACAAATGTACGTTACTCTTCACACCAAAATGATAACCAGCATGAAGGCAGATCTCTAATAAACATAAACCGTGGCAAGTAAACCAGACATGTCACAATAGACGTGCAGACTGACCTTTTTGCCAAACTTCCTTTGCTCACGCAGTTTCTTGGCCTTCTCCGACCTCTCCAGTATCTCCTGCTTTGAGATCAGCTTCTTCCTGATCTAGACAGAGGAACAGAAAACAGCTTTGTTTGTGCTTACAACATAGTAGTTATGATACCTCGAACATGCCACTTGGGGGTGTTGTTGGATATCCCACATGTCAATACATCCAGTATACCAATCTCAGTTCGGGAGATTTAGGTCCAGAATTGAAAATCAAAAGAACTAAAGCTGTAGGTCTGGAAGCTATGCTGTTCATTTTGAGCTCAGGGCTGGCTTTTTCAAAATGACGCGAGTCGATACTCATTCAAGCGTGACGTTGAAGAACCCACTCACCTTCTGCATCTGCTGATCAGACTTGGCCATCTCTGCAAAGTAATCGTCGGGCCTCTTGGTGGGTATGCCATGCTTGCTCAGGAGAGGCAGCGCATCTAGAACCGTGGCCTGGGCCTGGCGGTAGCTACAAATGAACAAAGACAGAGCCATGTCATGGCGTGGTTAAATATCTACTCCTTGGTACGGTTAGATGATTTTTTTTTTGTGTGTGTAAAAATAACTTGATGTGAGAATTTCAATGGTGGCATCCAACAATCTCAAATCATGGGTTTCCCCATGCGAGAAACATTCCGTATGTGGGCATTTCATTTTATGAGTCATGGTCACTCACAAAAACATCTCTCTCTGGAAATCGTCCTCGGCGTCTACATCTCCATTTTTCACATTAAGAATCTGCCCTTCAGCGAGGGAGACGTCCTTAGCCGGCGGGTTGGTCATGTCCAGCCTCTCCACCCAGGGGACGTCTTTACGCAGGTCGGCCAGGCAGTGCTTCAAACCCTCCTGCGCCACAACATCAGCACAGGCCGTAAACACCAAACCCGTCTGGAAAGTGATGGCTCGTCAGGGCTCTTCCACGGTTGATGTACTCACCACGTTGTTGACGAACTGTTTGGTTTTATCCACCAGAACGTTCATCCCCGGCTTCAACCATCCCTTTGCGAAGGCTTCTTGAAGCTTAAGGAAACGAAATGTTTTCAGGTTTATTCTCTTATTTCGTTTCGACACCAGACGCATTTACTACCAATGCATAAACAATACGCACGCTACAGTCGTATTCAGAGTCAGAAGCGAGTTAATGCCAATTGCATGCTAAAGTCATGAATATATATATTGGGCCGAATGAAATACACATTATGGACTCGGACGTCTCGGCGGTTGTTTCGCCCTTCTCATCTACTATTTTGCATCAATCAAGTCAAATAACTTAACCATAGTTGGCAATGTAACTAGTTCTACTCGTGTTAGCTTTAGCTTGCTATAGTTAGCCAATGTTAGCATGTCAACAAATCAACTGACCTCACTGTCTGATAATTCACTGTTTCCCTCATCGGATTCTTGCTCGAACATCTCTTCCTCCTCTGCCGACTCCATAGTGCTGCTATCGATGATCATAAGATGCCTGTATGTGATGTAGTGGCCTGTAAACCTGGAGAAATATGCCGTAAATGAGCGTGGACAGTTCTCCTCACATGTACAGAGCGTCTCACGTGGGGAGGAAGTGACGGAGGAGACCAGCTGAAAAGAGCTGCATGCTGAGTGTTACATCAACAGTCCGCCGGGGGGGAATAGTTTTAAGAGCAGAGGTTCTGACATACATTTTACACTAACTAGTATGTAGTTATTTTCAGAAACGTTATATTCGTATTGCTTTTGATCTGTTAACTCTTGAACATGATATAATTTAAGATATTTATGGTCATTTCTATGTCATTTTGCAATGAAAGTTTGTAGCTCTGTCATCTCCACACACAGAGTACAGAGCATACATATTCAAATATAAATTATATACTGTATATATATATATATCTGTTTTTTATATGTATTGCCCCTGTGTTGCCAATAAAAATTAGACTGCAGCATTAGTGTAGCCACATCAACAATCGTAACAATACAATACATTGGCGTGATCTTAGATGGGTTCACAGCTACTGTAGATAGATATACAGATAAATAGACCAATGGAAAGATGGATAAATGAGGATATGGACAACTGGATGCATAGATGGATGGACAGGTAGATATGGAAAGATTGAGAGAACGACAGACATATATACATATACATATGTAAATTAAGTCTCATCAGTTAGTTAGACTTGCCAGCTCATCAAGAAAGAAACTATCAACATCTCCTTTCCAAGCTCTCGCCCCAATGTCGATTTCTGACACTTTGACACGGCACATTTGAGAAGTGTCTGCGGTTTTGGCCAGCTGTCAATGTATGAGAGATCTATACAGGAGAGGCTAATGAGCAGTAGTCATTTCATCAATCATCTGCCGTTCTTCATTTGAACACTGAGAGACGAACAGAACAGACAATAAGTCCTATGTTTAATCATTAGTTGCAAGTTTATTACCCCTTTAAAATGAGTTGTGCATAGGATAGCCACATACTTTCACCTTGCTCCCATTTTACCGAATTGAATGGTACCCTGTAGCAAGAGAAAACATAAGAATTAAAATCATTCACCTTTATGTTGCGTACGGACAGTTGTGTTGATATTTTTTTACTCGCCTGGAAGAAGTGTGTGTCTGATAGACAGAGTGTGCACATGCTGAATGTTAATGTTGTGCTTGGGCGAGTGACCATGAAAGTAAGTGCCCAAGTTAGGATCTCAATTATCTCAAGGGCCATATTTTATCCATCCACCGGGCATAGTATGATGCATTATCATTGATTGTTGCAGCTATAGTAAAACTAGTATGTTCTGACATTTACTGTAGGACACATCATGTAATACAGGACAAAGCATATGCCCAGTAATGTTAGGTCTAAGAGGTGATCTGTGTCTGTTATCTTAACTGCAATATCAGAGAGCAGACATAAAAATAAAAAAGCGATAACATTTCCTGTAGTGTAAAGCATCTGCAGGACTTTATTTGAGCCATTTACCACATTAACGGATCATCACTGTGCAATATACATCAAAAAGATTCTAACCAAACATTATAGCACAAATTCATTTGTTGTACACTGCAAACAATTGTGTTGTGTTATTATGTTCTGCACGTCCTGCCTGCTCCAAAAGTTGGATGCACATCAACCTTAAAGAAGGTGTGCAGCCATTTTGCTTTAAGTGCACCATAACAGAGATCCAAAAGTAGGTGTTCCACATATTTTACCCAAGGACAGAGGCTTTTTTATTTCTTTCATCTTAGATGGTTGGAGAACTGATGCAACCATTAACAGCAGACAGATGCAGGATAGACTGTGAATAAATTCCACTGTTTTTTAAAATGTCATCAGTCTCTTTCAGTGGCTTATCCTCCCAGTCCTCAAAGCAGAAACTGACTGATCCCACTGAGAGTGACTTTCCCTTTTTTTCTAATGGAAATCAATATTAACAGCTTGTACTTCACCACCCTTAATTCTCTATTCTCTGTGTGATCAGATTCCCACTCCAAGATGTCTTCAGAGGGAAAATAACCATCATTTTCATTTCTGTCACCATAATCACTCGAGCTCAACAGAACTGCAGTCCATTAAATACCCATTGCTCTGCCACTCTTCATCTCAGAGCGACAGGCCCCTTTCTGACAACAGCTCCTTTCTGAAAGTGTATCCTGAAAGCTGGAGGTTGGTACAAAACAGAGAACAGAGTCATAAATGTTGGGCCCGAGTTGGAGCAGTGGTTCAGCCCCTATGACACTCAATAAACGTAAGAAACTTTGGCGATATGGGGCTACTCAATAGTTTGAAATGAACTACCGGGAATATTATTTTAGATCATTTTGTCTTTCATCTCGAGTGCATGTTTATTCCCTCTTAGGCTGTATTTCAGAATGATAACCAACCTGACTATTGTCTGACCGCAAAAATCATTGTTGCTAAACCATTCTGCTTTTAGAAATGTAGTCCTTTAAAGCAATTGCTGTGAAAACAATTTTTGCAAAATTGTGGACTGAAAATCTGAAGGGTTATTGTGTCATTCTCAAAGCTCCCATGAAGCCGGTAGATGCATTTGGAGTGTAGCAAGGACACGTCGAGTACGTCTCTGCAAAGCTGAGTCATTGGAGCACAAAACCCCATTTCCAAATATCCTTATAGTGGCCGAATAATATTATACGGAAGGGGCGAGGGTGGCAGGGGGGGGAAGTCAGTAGTAAATATACAGACTTTTTATTATTTTTATCATGAAAGTAACTCATGCATTGACTTAAATCCAACGAGACCATTTCTATTTTCCAGTTTCTCCCCGGATTTTGGCCATTTTACAATTTTCTCTGGCTGAAAATCAGTTTGTGCTTGTACTTTCCAAATAAGTTTTTACTGCTATTGGTGAAAAAAGTTATTTTTATAGAAAATCAGCATTTAAAAAAAGATTGGCGGGACTATTGAACTATTAAATGTAAACATGTGTGAGAGACAAGCTATTTAAAGTCGTACTTCAATTAAAGAATGGGGAGTGTTTTGGTGTAAAGGCCTGTTATGCCTGTGATGTTGTGAGTGGATTTTCATCGTGTGCACACAGTGTATTCCTCGAATGAAGGTGGACATGTAAAATAAATCAATTATGGAAATATAACAAAAAGGCGATAGTGGTTACAGCCGATGAAAGCTATTGAGTTGTAAACAGCACGTCCATACAAAAAGAAGATTGCCTTTTCCTTTGTAAGAAAACAAAGGGGTTCTGTGGTTTATTCACATAAAAAACTTTCCTAAAGGCTTAAATGTTTAGCATATAATACAAAGTAAAAATCCAGATGACTTGGCTATTTTTTCGGGGGCAATATGTATTTATAGCGATGGTCAGTCATTCATAGAAACTATGAATCTGTTGCTCATGCAACCTGCTTGATATTCATAGCAATGATTTGTTATTCATAGCGGTGCACTTTGTTCACATAAACAGTCCCAGAAGTATGTTATTATTCAAAGGAAATATTTTTTTATTCATAGCAACAGCTATAGCAATACAACTGGAATTCTGTGGCAAGTTGTTCTATTGCCCAACCGAGGCATCTTATGTACAGCACCAGCACTCCGTTCCCATCATGTGCTTTCTACTGGTGTAAATGAAGTGAACGTTGCATACTTGCAGTGCCTCGTCCTGGTCGACCACTGGGCCGAGTCACAGAAATACGGAGATTGCAGCAATTACGTGGTTGTCTGTGCAGCTGTCTCACACACTCCTCCTTTAAAACTTGGTGTATTAATTTGCTTTGAGCTCATCCCTATTTTAATCCTATTTCTATTATATGTATATGTGGAGCTTTTAGCATTTGATCTTTAGAGGTCTCCAGCTGGGGCATAATTAAACGTTTTAGAGGCGCCTTCCTTCCCTGCTTTCCTCTCTCCTCCTCCTCCTCCTCCTCCTCCTCCTCCCCCTGCTGCGTCCTCTATCCTGACACTGAATAGAAGCGAAGAGACAAATTAATCGGGTGAGCGCCAGGTTGCCAGCTTTCTCTGACGGAGGACGTCCACTGAATTTTGAGGGGAAATGCGACGTCAACTTCCATCACTGCTAAAGAGGCGGCGTCGAGAGTGAGGGAGAGTCCAAGTGTGGGGAGGAGCAGCGTGGGTCCCGCGCAAAATCACCTCATTATATCCCTGTAAATGAAATAATGAATCGATCTGATTGGAGGATGGAAGAAAAGAGAAGGCGAGGGGAGAGTCTTAGCATGAGGAGCAGCTCGCTCTGGTAACGGAAGGGGAAGTGGAGGAAAGAATGGGAGGAAGAGGATGGGGGACAAGGTAGGAAGAAGGAGAAGAGGCGGATGAGGGAGAGGGTGAATGAAGAACAAGTGAAGCATCAGTAAAGGAGGATAAGGAGAATGGGACTGGAAGAGAACCAGGCTGTTACAACGTTACTAAAATGTATCCGCTGTAATTAGTAGGCATCACACCAAAGCAAATTGATTATATTATCTAACTACATTACGTAAATAAACATTCATTCATTAACACTGATGTTTCATAAGGGATACGATGTGATACGACGAGAGACACGATGGGTTTCTAAAGTTGCCCAATGACCCTGAGACAAACTCTTTTTGCTGTCACACAACATTTTGTTTTGTCTGAGCAAAAGCTGCAGAATAGCTGATGACTCCACTTGTGTTTTCTCAGCTGCAATGCGATCTCCTGGCAGGGTGTTACCGATAAATGGTTAAGATTATTATTATTATTATTAGATGATTAAACTACTTAGTCATGCTTAGAAAAAACATCCCGGGTTGTTTTGGAAAATGTAAAAAAACGCATGAAATAACAACGCCAACAACGCAACACCTTGCCTCATCCGTATTGCTTTTCATATCAAGCCTCTCTTACTTTGTGGGCCGCTCGTTTTTCTAGATAACCAGCTGTGAACGTAGCCGTTTTAATTCATTAGGGTTCACAGTGTAGTCGTAATTTGTGTCTCTGGACCTGGTTAGCTCTGGACAATTGTGCGCTTGTAAACAGTAGCTTTTTTACAATGACTTGTGAAACATTCACTACAGACTAACTAATAGATGCTCCTCCACATAGCTCTGTTG